AGATTGGCGTTTCGACTTCATGCCGTACTTTATTGGAGTGGTTTCCTAAGTGCCGTACGGGGCCCCTGGGCGCCGGTTTCTTTTCCTCCTTACCCCAAAACAAACCCTTAACCCCTTCCCAGCTCCCAGTCCAGCTTTTTTCCCCCCCTTCTGAAAAACCCTTCCTCCCCTCCCCCCGTCCCGTGGTTCGTCTTTCCCCCCGTCCTTACCCGGAATATGGCCCCCCCGTAGCCCGGGACGGGGCTCCGGCTCCGTGCCAAGGAAGCGCCCCCCGCTGCGTGCGTCCATCACCTGCTCCTTCTTGCTGGTGATGTTGTCCAACATGTCGTCTAGGGTTCGAACCTGGGCAAAAGCAGGAGAAGGGGCCCATGTGCGCTTTGTGAATGTGTTTTTTTTACTTCTGACGAGAGCCCCGCGATACGGGAAACCGGCCGGCGAAGGTGCTCGAGTACCCCTAGGTGAGCTATATGAGCATGTGACCATGTGCATGTGTAAATACATATGAACGAGTTTGTTTGAGCGAATGTACTGCGCGAACCACCCACCTTGGATGCGTCCAGTACTGCCCGGTACGACGTGGTGGGCGGTGGAGAGGCACATGCGCGAGTGGCCGCAAACATGACGTCATCGGAGGGCGGATTGTCGTTCTCCAGTGGCAGGCCCTTGGCTCTCCAGGCGGGAAGGCCTCCCTGGAGCACGGCCACCCTGGGTGGGTGGGTGTGTGCGGGTCGGGGCCCCGGGGGTGAGGCGGGGAGGTGTGTGTGTGTGGGGGGGGGTAAGACGAACCACTGGCGAATGGAGCAGATATCAAAGTGTGTGTAGGGGGGGGGAGGTGGCGGCGGCGGTGGCCCTGGTGTATGTACGTAGGTGAGGGCGGACCGGGTAACGGCCGGAGAGGGGGGAAGTCCGAAGTCGGAGGGGTTGACGCCGCGCCGCCGAAGGGGCCGCGGCAAGGGGGTGCGCGAGGGGTTAAACACAAAACACAAAAACGTATAGACAGCTTAACCCACAGGCAGAGATATACGGACAGACAGACAGACAGACAGACAGACAGACAGACAGACAGACATGGCACACATGCATGCAGGGTCGCCAGCGCCTGCCCAGATGGCCCCCCATCATAAGGCCCAGTCAAAGGGGTGCGGGTGGAGGGAGGACGTACTTGTCGTGGCCGAACACTTTGAATGTCCACCAGGCACGTGGAGAGGAAAAGATGCCTAGATGGTCGTACAGTACGACTGTCGTATCGTTGGTGATACCCAGAGCGTCCATAGCTGCCGCGAAGCCCTTCCACCCGGGAAGTGCGCGGGGGAAAAGGGGGGAGAGGCGGGAAGAAGCGATTGAAGCGGGGGTGGAACTGAAACAGGACGGCAATGGGGAACAAAACCGCTACTTCTGGATTGCGGCCGGAATAGAAATGAGCAATACGTGTATACATATATACGGGTATACATGCATACAAACATACATCCTTAATGCATTCATCCATCCATCCATACATACATACATACATACATACATACATACATACATACATACATACATACATACATACATACATACATACATACATACATACATACATCTACACCTACCCACAGAAGGAGGGAGAGCACATAATGCTAAAATCGAAAACTATCAACCGCCTATGTATCAAAACTATCAATGCAAAGGGATCATTCGTACATACAGCTCATTCATCGTACAGCTCTCCCCCCCCCCAATCACCTGCTCCGAAGGCAACATGTGGGGAAGGCCGCGAGCGGTGACGGGATCCGTGGCAATGCCGTCGATGTCGAAGAACCTCGCGCCTGGGATGCGAACGGCTCGATGGTCCGCGTGGTTGTTTCGCTGGTGCACGGGCATGTACCAGCAGGCATCCAGTACGCGCACGGACGGGTCGTTCAGCCTGTCCACGAAGGGGGGGAGGACAGGCGGGAACATGCGTGGTGGTGGTGCCCGTGCTGGGGTTGTGGGTTGGGGAGGGGGAGGGTGGTGGGGGGATTGCAAGTGGGTAGAGAGAGGGAGTGCAGGAAACACTAAAACACTAAAACACTAAAACGCCAAAACGCCAAAACAGCGCCTGGAAGGTAAAGGGGAAAAGGGTTAAGGAGGGGGGAAACACATTGAGCAGGGTTCCTCTCGAAACGTCACCAACCAATGGCAAGTTGCATGATGTGTATGACTGTGTGATCGCGTCGCTCTTCAGCGGCTTCCCAGCCCATCGTACTTCCGTACTCCTTGTACGCATGCTATCGTACAGAAATTTTGTTCTTCAGTGTTGATTGATTATTCCCCGCCCGCCGCCGTACCGCTCGGCCAACCAGTCAACAGTTACAACGGGATGTATGGCCGCCGCTGCCCCTGCCATCGTCGTTTCCGTACGGCACCGTCGTACAAAGGACGGCGAAGGGGATTTAATGAAGTTAAGCCGAGGGGTCTGTAGGGATAAGGAGGATACAGGGGCCGCGGCTTGAGTAGAGGAATGTGCGTGTTGCAATGCAAAGGACCTCTTTTAGTGATAACTTTGGGGATGATATTAGAAAAGATAGGAAAAATCAAAACGCTAATTTTCGGACGAAGGACGACAGGGGAACCCCCGTTCGTCCCCTATGGTTATATTCGGAGCGCCCAAAGATGCTCGCACTCTATTCCATTTCAAATTTATATGGCAAATCGGTATATGGCAAACCTAATAAGCCGAACAATAACGACCAGGAGAAAATGCCAAAGGCCAAATGCTTACACAACAGGCCTGGCGATACTGCTCTGCGCCTAAAGATGGATGGCGAATGGAAGCAAGCTTCACCTATGCCAAGGGAAATCATTAGGATTACGCACGATCTGAGCAGCTGTTGGTTCCCAAGCGATTGGTCCACCGCAATGCGCCGAAAGCCGATAGGCAGAACCTCCATAGCTTCGAAAACAAAATAGATCTGGTTCCCGAAGCCTTCCCTCAATGTGATGACGCAAATCCGAAATGTAGCAGACTACAAGCATTCTCGCAGTCTGCCCTGCAAGTTCTGGCCTCCGACACCGCAAGACGTCTCACCTCAATAAATCCAGACTGATTCCTGATGACTCGTTTCGTCTGGGCAAGACGGCGTTGCAACATCCGTGTTAAGATTCAGTAAGTATGTATGTGTGCTCTTGCACCTGTAGATGCTGCTGTCCCTGACAAGGGCCGGTGACGAGCTTTAGCAATTCCTTCCGATGGCTCCACAGTTAAATCTGAGTTGGGTAAATTCAAAACCTTTGCACCTCGGTCCTTTGTTCCGGAGCCGTCCTGCCACGGGCTCCGGCCAGGGATTGAATTGCATTGCTTAAACGTCATCGCGTGATCCGTACTCACTACTAACTTATTGTGGGGAAGGCCATTGCGTCTGCGACCACACTCCCGCGGTACCCAAACCCTTCAAAGACAACTCCGATCAGCCATTTGGCTGTTAGTGGGAGGGCGGGTGGGCCGCTCGCACGGCAATCGAGTAGAGAGTACGAAAATAACCTAATGCAGTCATCGACAGCAGAAAACGTAAGCCTCCAGCCTCATGCCGACTCTCTTACCTACCATTCATATTTTCTACCTCGTTCCCAAGACTCCGCCGCGTTGCCTCTAGTTCGGCTCGTGCCACAGGTAACTTCGCTCGTCGCTACTTTGCCATTCACCTTCGCCTCCACCCAGCCTCTGCTTCTCCACAGAAGCGGCGACCTCCTTCGCCGTTGTTACGCCTCGTCTATGCGAATCCTCCTCATCCGACTGGGTCTTCTGCCTACCCGGTGCGCGCCCCCTCTCTCCGCGCATCCGTCTCTCCGGTCCTTTCTAACGGTTGCCTACCTTACTGCAGGACTCGCCCCTTGCCTGTCCGTTGCCGGGTAGGCTTTTCTTGCCTTCCCCGGCCCCACTTGGGGCGCCCCTCCTTGGCTCGTCCACTACCTTACTTCCATCCGTTCCTGCCCCTCGGGGGCCCAACCCCTCCGCCCTTTCTGTGGGCCCGATGCCCGCTCTGGACTTATCTCACGCCCCCGGCCTCTCTGATGCTGCCCCCCCCGGTAGGTTTGC